CTGCAGAACTTGCTGTCCGTCTCATTAGTGAGTCCGACTTTGTGCAGGTGCTATCAGACCACCCAGTGCCCCATCAAGAAGTCTGTAATGGTCTAAGTTGGCTCCTGTTTAGTTTTGGGACGCTTTTTACCTCTTTGCAGTTTGAAGGACCTTGTATAAAAATCCTTGACGGTCTGAGGCCTCCCTGTTCCGGCCATTCGTCTTGAAACCTGATTTTGGATCAGTTCCTGATCTTGGTTTTTACTAGGCAGGAAGCAACTCCAAGAGCAGGCTCGGGCCTAATAAAGGCAGTGTTGCTACTTTCACGAACCAGCTGGTCTGCCTCCTCGTTACCTTCTATGCCTCTGTGACCTGGGACCCAAACAAGGGTGACCTTGTTGAGCCAACTGGGTAGTTTAAGGGTTTTTATACAGTCGAGCGTGAACCTCGAGTTGACATTATCTGAGCAAAGGGGTCGGAGTGCTGCCTGACTGTCACTGCATATATAAATATGCTTGCCCGAGTAGGTAACTTCTCTGGATATTCTCCTGAGCTGAGCATATACTTGTATGGCAGAGATCTCAGTCTAATATACCGTTGGGTATCGACCTAGTGCAAGACTAATTCTCGCCACAGGTCTCTCCCCATATAACACCAGCCCCTGCACCCCCATCCATCAGAGACTCGTCTGTGTACCAGATGAGCCCCTTCGACTTGTAGAAGCCTGTGTCATGCCAGCCGTCCCTTGCAGGGAGGACGACCTTGTGTTGTCTAGGGGGGCTGAAGTTTTTAGCAGTGCATCCCTTCTGGTGAGAAGGGGGTCCTGTCTGATGGTGTCAGTCCAGAACCTTGCATGTCCCATATTCAGCCCTCGTTCAACCCATTATCCCTAAACGTTGCGAGTCTGACAGATGACTCTATAAAGAGACGAAGAGCCATTATTCCTAATACGCTGGAAAGTCGTCGAAGTCTGTCCAGCATCGCCCTGTAGGTGGATTTGCTAAGCGCGTTCTACCAAATTAAGCTGCCGTGCGTGAACATAGGCCTTATCACTGGTGTTTAATTAGCCAGTGTGTCTATTCCCGGCTCTTGATCAGGTTTGTAGTTATTTTGATTGATTGATTAATCGATAAAGCAGGTCCAAAATTGTCAAAAACGATTTTAACATCATTTCCCAATGACAATTTCAAATGGGAAAAAAATCATAAATAAAATCTCATCTTTGGTTCTGGATTTTTTTTGAAATCTTGACACGATTATGAGCTCATATCTTCCATGATATTTAAGCAAATTGCCTTTATTGTATATCGTTTAAAAGAGCATTAAATTTTCTATAAATTGTGTCCAATTAGTTTCAGGTAAGTGCATAAACTGATTGAGTTTTAGAGCCTCAAAGTTGAGTTTTAGTTAAAATTTACCTTTTTTGACTTTACCAATCAATAGAGCAGGTGCAAGTGAGCCAAAAACGACTCTATCAACATTTTCAAAGATCCATTTCAAAGAGGAGAAAAATCCTACAGTAAATTTCATCTTTGATTCTGGAATGTGGGGTTGTAAGCCCCAGGTGCGTTCGATAGATCTTCTACAGACCCAGGGGTTAGCAGTGGCCCTATGGAGGACCCTGTTGACGTGATCCTTCCAGGTCAGCCTGGAGTCCATGATGACCTCTAGATAATTGACCGTACCGGATGGAGCAAATATCGATCCAAAGAGCGAGAGCCTTCCCAGGTCCACGTTTTTTGGCTTTGTTAATGAAACTACCTCGATCTTGCCCGGATTTACCGAGAGCCCGTGACTATACATCATCTTATGTCTCCTTAGTTTGTATGTCAAATGTAGTATTCAGTGTGTAATTTACTTTTCGATGTGAGTGAACATTATATTTGTACTGGCGTGATGATCAAATGATTTGATTTAATTTGGGTAATTTTTTACTATCATCTACCGATAACCTATTTCTTCTTCAGCATTACCTAGTTTGTCGTTATATTCGCTACCCTTAATGGAATAACTTTGTTGGAGTTGCCTATAACCAGTATGCGACGAGAGATCAATTCTGAGTATTTTCGGTTGGTTCCTCTCTAGGTTGGAATGAGTGGAATTTATACAGATTTGAAATTGTACAGTCGTGAGAAAAGCTTCGACAGAATACAGGCAGTTCTATTGCAACCAGTTCAGCAGTCGCTAGTAAAGAAAGCATTTTCATTGTTTTGCCCCCTTACACTGGCGAGAGTACGTTTTTCTAGATCTAAAGCGACCTTTTTTGCGTTATGGTATGATAAATAATGTCAAACTTCACCAACCTAAGGTGACTGATCTGTGTTTAGTGCGTTTTTTATTTCTGAATAATGCCTGTCACTTTTAGGCACTAGTGCTTAAAAATCACTTTCACGCACTGAGTGCTTAAAAGAATGTCGTTTCAAAACTAAAATGACAATCGAAAAGTTACTATTATGAAACGTCAGTAGAAAATAGTTATTTTCCTAACAAGTGCGGAAAGTGATACTTTCCCGCACGCGACTGCCGTTGACCCGAACGACGCGAAGCGGAGTTCGGGCAAGCAGTCGAGTGCGGGAAAGACACTTTCCGCATGAGTTGGGAACATTATTTTTTCTATGAGCGCGTTCAAATATAAAAATAAAAATTAAGTGAATTCAAAGCGATATATTATTGAAGAAATCGTTCAATTACAATAATTATTTATATATCAAGGGTACTAAGTAGATGATTATGCCCTGAGGGCGACAGTCCTGCAAAGCCGATTGCCTCTGGCCCGAGGGTTTATATATCTATTAGTACCCGTGGTGCATACAAACTTTTATGTCATACCAGTTGGTTGTGAATAATAAATATACAGTGACCGCCAAAAAGTATGCAACAAATGGGAAACTATTTTATTATTAAAATATCAAAAAGAATGTTTCGTGGGATCAATTTAGCATACCTATCAACAAAAAAAAGCACTGTGACAGATGTCATGTGACCACAGTTATGGCGGGAAATTTAAAAAGTTCGCCTCAAATATGTAAAAAGTGGGGTTAGATGACCAGAAATCGAAAAACTGTAGAGAGAAACGTGGTTCAGAATTCGATTTTACGTCTATGTGTTAATTTTTGAAAAGGTACAAGGATTTTTGATAAATATCAATTTTTTGGTCTGTTTTCTGGTAATTTTGGAGAATATTAAAAACTTTTCGGAAAAATATTGGTTTAATTGAATTTAGAAAAGAAGTATTGGATCATTTAGAAAGATTTTATGATAATTCCAAATTTGTTATTTCAAATTTTCGCTTTCTCTAGGTCATTGCAACAAGATCAGAGTGGTCTGAAAATGAATTTTTGGGTTTTTACAATTTTCCGCGGGACAATTAAGCAGAATGGCTGCACTGGATTTTTTTTGGTTAGTTTCACTTTGAATTATGTGAACCAAGCGAAAAGTTTTTGAAATTTTTCAAATTACCAGGAAACAGGCCAAAAAATTGATATTTATTAAAAATCCTTGTACCTTTTCAAAAATTCACACATAGACGTAAAATCGAATCCTGAACCACTTTTCTCTCTACAATTTTTCGATTCCTGGTCATCTAACCTCACTTTTTACATATTTAAGGCGAACTTTTTAAATTTCCCGCCATAACTGTGGTCACATGACATTTGTCACAGTGCTTTTTTTTGTTGATGGGTATGCTGAATCGATCCCACGAAACATTCTCTTTGATATCTTAATAATAAAATATTTTCCCATTTGTTGCTAACTTTTTGGCGGTCACTGTATATAGGAAGCCTTCCAAAGAAAAATACATATATATACAAGTAGCCTATATATATACAAGTATATATATATATACAAGTATATATAAAGTAGCATATATATAAAGTAGCATTTCGCGCACGGCGTCATGGAAACGTTAAAAAAACCATACCTTGTCAAAAAAAATTATGAAATTTTTGAAAGATCCCCAAATTAGCAGAAATGTATACAGACAAAATTGATAAAATGTTTGATTAATTAACAAAACTGACACTTCTGAACGCCACTTTCCCGCACTGCGGAAAAAACTTTTTCCCGCACTAGTGCGGGAAAGTGACATTTTCGGAACTAAAATGCGTGCGGGAAAGTAATAAAAAATACACGCAAAAATAATTATTGAAAATCAAATATTAAACACAGAAGCAACTTGTTGATTTTGATGCTGGAAGTTATTACTGCTACATAAAACACCAGATGAATCAGATGCTGATACAGTCTGTTGGAGCTTGACGAAAATACTCTGTTGTTGAAATGGCATCTTCGCTTCTTAACCCTTCTAAAAATTTGGTATGATGCGTTTCATCCAAGTTGCAGATCAAGTTTTATGGAAACTGCGCTGCTGTGAACTGTTCCAGGTCTACTTAATGTCCTTTACTTACTTCCAATAAATTCGAAGGATTTTGTGAGATAAAATACAATTTAGGCAGATACTCGCGGGGGTCCCCATATTTTCTAATGTGACTCAAATGTTTGAATTTTTATTGTTCCAGAGAACCTCAGAAATTATTGACGAGAGGAAGGATTCTTCCGTGTTTTTTCGAGAGAAAATCAATCTCTCGAGAGAATATCATCTTTGGCAGCCTCACTACCTGGATCCGAAATTATCGTAAAGTCTTATGCCTGGATGTGCCCAATATATTTTTTGCAAAGATGCAAAACATGTAAAACCATGCCATTTCTCTCAAAAAAACTTCTCTAGGGATACAACTTGAAATTCTGATAAACTTACATAAGTCTATCGCAACAATTTTTTCCAAAAGCATTTGCTCCATGTTTATTACTCAGTTACATAAGTACAATCTAATTTATTCCTCAACTTCCTGCCATTTTTTGCGAATTTAATTCAAATGTAAATAGGTATGCATATTTTGGAATAGGTAATTTAAAAGTTCAATTATTATATAAATACAATTTTGTCACATATACATACCATTGATAGTACTTGTTCTTTATAGTGCGTGCGTGAGTTTTGGTATCGCGTTTCATTTTAAATGGCTCTGCACGACGATGAAACCAATAATTCTATTAAATTTGGAAAGCTACTAGCAACCCCGTCCAAAGGAGATGAAGTAGTCATTTCTGGTAAGCCTTAACAAGTTTTCCAAGTTTATTGATTCAATTATTCAACCGATACTTGGTGACAGTTTAAACTCATTACGGATGTAGGTAGAAAAAAATTCTCATCTGAAAAACTTCGATCGAAAAAAAAAGCGTCGCAAAAAAACTAAATGACTTCAAGAGTCTCCTGGACCTGGACATGTTTCATTATTTTGGAATGCGGATTTTACTTCTGATTCCGATTTATCAAACGGATGTTCCATGTCTGATTCAGAATCAGAATAGAAATTTTAATACACAGCAAAAGTCGGGCTAATCCATTTTTTTATTTATGTTGGAGACAAATGGCCAATCCGGCCCGTGGCCGGCAGATGTCAAAATTATAGCGAAAAAACATTCAATAGATGAGTGAAAAAATGCATTTTGATGTTGGGAGAATAAAATATTTTTTTCGACTTAAATTCATCATGACAAAACTTGAACGACTTAAAGATAATTGAATGTACTTATCCTATAGGTATATCGGGTCGTTATCCAGAAAGTGCAAATGTTACCCAATTTGGACAGAATTTGTTCAATAAAATTGACATGTCAACTGACGATGATCGACGATGGAAATCTGGACACCCTGACATTCCTCCACGAAGTGGCAAAATTCCAAACATTGAAATGTTTGATGCTGGCTTTTTTGGTAATTCACTGGTAGTTTATTCACATATATTCCATATATAAGTATTCAAACAAATTTAGGTTATAATCATCTTCAAGCAAGTCAATTGGACCCTTTGTGCCGAATATTTTTAGAAGTAGCCATTGAGGCTTTATTTGACGCTGGTGTCCATCCCTCTGAACTCAAAGGTACTAAAACAGGAGTTTTTGTAGGCGACTGTTTGAGTGAATCAGAGCATTATTGGTATAGGGATAACCTAGTGCCAAAAGGCTTTGCGATACTGGGGTAATATTTTGTTTTCGACTATTTTAACATGTAAGTAATATGTGATACATTTTCTAGTAACATACACGCCATGATAGCCAATCATCTCAGTAAGTTTTTAAAACTCAAAGGGCCCTCCGTTATATGTGATACAGCCTGTAGCAGCTCTTTATATGCATTGGAAAATGCTTATAAGGCAATTAGAACCGGGCTTTGTGACGCAGCTATAGTAGGTGGTACAAATTTGTGCCTACAACCCTATTTAACATTGCAGTTTGCAAGGTGACAGCTACATAACATTTGAAATGTTCGAGAAACAAGATTTTTTTTTCTTATTCTTTTATAGACTAGGAGTTTTGAGTGCCAATGGCCAATGCAGACCTTTTGATATTGACGGAAAAGGATATATGCGTTCGGAAGCAATTTCAGCGGTTTTTCTACAGAAATCTATGGATTCCAAGAGAATATATTCAACTATATTGCACGTTAAAACAAACTGTGATGGTTTTAAAGTAGGTTTCAAATGAAACACATAGGTACCCTTATACAATGAAAAATACTTGACATATTATTTTTCTAGGATTCTGGCATCACATACCCATCTGGTGATGTCCAAGTACAGCTCTTCGAAGAATTCTACAAAGAATGCGACTCGGTAAAACCTAGCGATTTAGATTTTATGGAAGCTCATGGTACTGGTACCAAAGTTGGAGACCCTGAAGAAATGCAAGCCATTGACCAAGTATTCACAAAAGATCGACAGACTTCCTTTTTAGTTGGTTCTGTGAAATCTAATATTGGGCATACGGAACCAACTGCAGGTCTATGTTCCGTAACAAAGGTAAGCAAAGTAATTTGTCAATTATTTTATGTATTAATATTATTCGTAATAAATAGGCTATCATCGCCTTTGAGACTGGAATTATACCACCGAATATAAATTATGTAACTCCCAGGCCTGAAATTAAAGGAATACATGAAGGACGATTGAAAGTTGTTACTGAAAATACTTTACTTACTGCCAATCAAAGTTTAATTGGTAAGTGAAATTTTTATTGGACGAAAATTATTATTATTATTATTTTTTTTTTCGGAACATTTGAATCAAATCGGAATACTGGAATATAAAAATCGACGTTCTAAAAATAAAACTTAACATAAGAAAATTTTGATACAGTTTATCATGATTTTTTTCCTGGTGGTGGAGAGCGATCGCAACAGGTCAGGACACTATGGCCCTATTAGGCTCTTCTGCATCCTTCCAGGTTCTTCTAATCAATTCAGGTCATATCCTATCACAAAGCTTTGAGAAGGGCGGACATGTAGCCTGAGAATGCTTCTCAGATGAGCCGTATTTGGCCTGCGCTCTCCTAACATAGAATCTCTCAAGTTCGAAACCACATCGCAGTGGCGGAGCAGATGCTCCACTGTTTCGCGTTTCGTCTCCCTGTTCGCCACCGCTGCACAGAGGTGACTTGCTAAATTCCTTTGAATGGAGGTAATATGACCTGCCAAAAACCCAGTGGTGAGACGTAGGTAGATTTTTTCTAGACATTGCAAGGAATGTCCTTGGTGCAACTACATTACGGTAGCTCAGCAGCTTCCTAGATAATTGACAGGTGGTTGTATCTTGATGAGAAATCCACCTGGGTGAGCTTTTTGTTCATCTGAGTCTGAGTAATGAGAGGCAGATCAGAAGAGCCAGATCCCATAAAAGTGACGTAGTTGTCTTCTTTACCAATTTGTCCGCTGAATAGGTTAAACTTTCTTCTCATGAATAAACATTCATTTAACTCACTTGGTGTATAAATAACTATTATCAAATTAAGTTCAAAAGTCACTTCACTCAAAAATCTAATAAATGAAGTTCAAAAATCTTCTAGTAATTTCACTTCAAATTGTTAGCAATAGTCAAGTTCATTCTATTTTGATAATTAACCTTTTTTATCAAGATAAATTCAAATGTCATTTCACTTGGAAAATCAAATAAATTTTCAGTAAAGTTCCTTAGACAGTTCTCTTAAAATCAATTCACTTAGATAAATACTAAAGTCTCAAATTTCTACATGTACTTACACTCTGTCCCATAGAGAAATATAATAGTAGTAAACTACGAGAGACGTTTGTTTAATGTAACAATCTGGAAGTGTGTTTGTGCACATACCCGTAGCGTATTTCGCATGGTATGGCAGATTATTGAACTAATTACTTCGATCGTTTCTGACAACTCGGTTTAATTTGTCTTTGTCTGCAACTTGCCCGAAAATGTTCTATCTTTTTTTAACACACAAAATACAAAATATGACAAATGATTGAATCCAAAGACCATCAATCAAAAACTGAATTCTCACAATCATAACGTAAAATTTCTTCTATTATTTATATTAGGGAAATGAGAAAACATTCTGTGATCATAAATATTAATTATCTAGACAAAACCGACACCAATAATAGTGTGTTTTCGAATTTGCGATGATACGAGATGCAGTAAAAAGGTAAACACAAAGCTTATAATACAAACATTTTTAGTTACTGTATATTTATAAAATTGGAATAAAAAAATAGGTTTGTTTGAAGATATCTCAATTTTTGTATTGTTCAATTACCTCCTTGACCCCCTTAAGGAATCTCATTGCATCTAATTTGGATTTTTTAAAAATAAGTTCTGTTTTCGTTCTAAACAGTTGCTCGGTAAATTTTAGCAAGTTTTTCTAACAAATGTATTGCTTTGCAATTAACTGTTTTGAGCGTTTACAGTACTTTATTTTTAATAAATTTTAAATAAAATCAAAGTTAATAATTTAATTATTCAAAAAAGCCGCCTTTTCACTGTCAGTAAAGAAGAAACCTGCATTCAAACAATGTCCACTCTTTTATTGCTGTCCGTAGCCACCAGGGGCGCTAACGTCGACATTGTGCCAGTTAAGTACAGGGGAATGACTTCTCTCGTAGTTTACTACTATTATATTTCTCTATGCTCTGTCCTTAGATACACTAACGATCAAAATTATTGTCAGTTACTTAGCATGTACAAACAAAAGAAAACCTGGGACTACTTTATAACTCTTACTGAGCAATAGTCAATCGCAAACTTTTTAGCTGTTTGCCCGAGGCAAAACAAAGATAAAAAAAAACTTTTTGGTGGAGACTCAACTCACTGCCAATTTTCTTGATTCTTAAAATCTTACTATGAGATTAACTGCTGGATGTTATCCGCTTTCTGATTGTAACCTGCTTAAATAGTACTCAATTCCCACCAAAAATCTGTTACGTGGGCGGTCATTTAGCATTTCTCGAACCAATCCTCTTATTTGACCTCGTTTATCGAGTGATAAACGACATTGTGGTTTTCCAAGAATTGTTCTTTTTTTTGTTTTTTGTTTAAGTTTTAATTTAGGATATGATGTAACATCCGGCGGAAACACCGGTGTTGTAGTTTATCAGTTATGACGCAATTAAATCACATGAGTATATAGTGATTTTTGGTTAAACGCGGCCTAATTTTATAATTTTTTATTGACTTTCTTTGGTCGCTTAACGCTGGTGTTGGTGAAAAAAATTATTATGTAATTTGAGTTGAGCTAAGAAATTTCGTCATTTTTCATTTATACTATTTTTATACGGAACTAGATGCTGGATTGCTAGGAGATTTAATAAGTTGAGATTAAATTATCTTGCAACTGACGTAGGTACTTTTCTAATTAAAATGACTACAAAAATGCTTTTACCAATTGAGTTTAGTTATATTTTCTGGTATTTTAGTACCTCGAAATTTTTGTGGTCGCCACACAAGGCTTGCACAGGATATAGCTGCCAAACCTGATATTTTTTTTCATGGATCCTTAATTTTTACCCCATCAAAGTTTCAGTAGGTATATTAAGTTTGCGACATTGACTATTGATGGAAAAAATCCAGTTGGTTGAAACATGCGATAAGGCAGCTATTCGTCTTGATTTTCCGCTAGAAAGTCAAGACTTCCTGCTCAAAATTTAATTTATACAAAAGGGCAATAACGTCATGTTTTGAATTGCATTAAATTCAATTTTGTGGAGGGAGATTTTGATTTTAACCTAAATGTGGAGCATCTTCTCTTCGAAGATGGACTATTTTATCAAATTTATTCTTGTTATAGGTGTGAATGCCTTTGGTTTTGGTGGAGGCAATGCTCATGTTCTTCTGCAAAGAAATCTAAATCAAAAAAATGGCAACGGCATCGCCAAAGACAATATTCCTAGATTGGTGTGTGTCAGTGGTAGAACATCTGATGCTATCGATGTTTTGCTAGATGATGTTATTGCTAATAATGTTGATGTTGAACATATTCGCTTGCTACAGGAAATATTCAGGTACCTACTTTCGATGTTCAAAATACATATTTTCTGTGACCGACTTCATATTTACTGAATAATAATGATATTTTTTTTTTTTGCTGTAGAATAAATGTTCCTGGCCATGTATACAGAGGTTATACGCTGGCAACCAAATTCGGCGAAATTTCTAGATCTTCTTATGAGTGTAAAGATTTACCGTCCAATTTAGTAGTCTGTTTTGGCAATATAAGCGAAGACATAATAAAAAATGCTAATAATTTTTTAGAAGTTCCAATTGCTGTATCTACGCTCCAAGGGTAAATAATTACAAACTGATATACACATTGCATTATTTTCAAAACTAGTTTTTCTGCAGTTACATAACATGCATTTTTTTTTAGAATTCACGAAAAACTAGGACCAAAAGGCTTGAACATACTAAGTATTTTATATAATTCATCATACAATTCGATCTTAGAGATAATAATGGTCCACTTCACCCAGCAGATATTAATAGCTAATCTTATAAAATCTTGTAATATTGTTCCTGTAAAAGCATATGGTACATCGAAAGGATTCTCGCTTGGTGTTCTAGTCAGTGCATATTTCAATGGAAATTTGACACTGCAAGATGCTACTGAATACGCTTATCATATAGCTTTGTCTGCACAATCCATTACCAGCCAGGATATGGAAACCAAAGATATTATGGGGTTAATGAAGGGAAATAATAAAATCGGTAAGTTTAGGAATATGTACAAAGTTATGAATTACGAGACATTATATATTTTCAACAAATTACGCTAATTGAAAAAAAATTCACCTACATATGTAATGGAATTTCCCATGTCCCACCCTGGGTTACTGCAAATGTTCCATGTGTCTCCGCTTTCTCTATTTCGTCGAAAAAGTATGGACCAATGATGAAATTAGCTGTAATGTTCTGGTAATTTTTTTTGTCATATCTTTCTGAACCATTTCATATGGATTTTCTGTTGACCAGTCACGACAGTTTTAATTATTGGATTCACATTTGGTTTCATCTGTGCATAATGTACGAGATAACCATTCCAGATCAATTTCCATATTAACCATTCTGTTAGGTACGTGTTTACTCTCGGAAGGTCAGTTACAGAACCAATTCTTTCAACTTTTGCTAATTAAATTACTCTACACTTTCATTTAACATGGCTCTGCATCCTTACAGGCGCATGTTATTAAAGTTTAAATCGCTTGAATTTACGTTTGCGTGACTTTTATTTTGCAAGCAAATTCGATGATTCTTTGGTCATCATCATCATAGGTGACCACTCGATACCGAGTATGATTATCTCCTATTCTATTCTCAATGTCGTCGATTGTGCGTTTTCTGATGGCTATAAACCAATTCTGGAGCCGCACACTCTGTCACAGTCTTGGCACACACAGCCTCTGCCAGTATTGTTTTTTCGTCTGTTCTTTTGCTTCTTCCTGCAGTGCCTCTTTTCGGCCTTGGTTCTCCGTCGCTGTTCTTCAAGCGTTTGTGGTCCATCGTGGAATACTCGACGCCATGAGGTCCTATCAATTGCCGTCGTCTCCCAGTTGTTTGCATCGATGCGGCAGTTTGCTATATTTTCCTTAAGAACATCTCTCAAAAAGAGTGTTTTTGTTGACCTTCTTGATTTCGTTTTCCCTCTTTCAGTTGACTGTAGAGAATATGTCATGCAAGACGTGCTTCGGGTATTCGGACGAGGGACGAAGTGACCTGTCCAGCTTAGTTGGTGCTTAATGATGAGGGCTTCCATGCTAGTTGTTTTGGCCTCCTCTAAAACACTGATGTTCGTTCATCGGTCTTGCCATTCAATCCGCTTCTTAGGCATCTGGCTGGTGGTATTTTTTAGGCTTTTTTGTGCCTTCTGTAGGTGGTGCATATTTCCCAGCCATAGGTAATTGTTGGTATTACAACTGCATTGTAGCGCGAAGTTTGGTCACAGCGCTGATGTCGTGATTGTTGAAGAATCTCTCTAGAAGTCGCCCGAATGCTCCGCTAGCACACTTCAAGCGATTTTGGATTTTGGCGTCAATGGTTGCAGTTGCTGCCAAATGACTTGCAATGTATGGGTAGTTCTGCAAGGAGTAATCATTTATAATTATATTAGGGGCTTGGGGATCAGTGCCCGGGGCGGGTTGGTGTAGAATCTGCGTCTTGTTAAAGTTGACCTCTAGGCCGATTCTTCTGTATGCTTGGTTGACTGCATTGATATAATTGCCTGAAGATCTTCCTCTGAATTGGCCATCACGGCGTTTTCATCCGCATATTGAAGTTCAATTATCGACGTTGTCGATAGTTTTGTCTTGGCTCGTGATCTGTTTAAATTACTCAGTAGGAAAGCTGAAGCTGTCAGTACCAGCTGACTTATTGTTCTTTAGTTGTCTGATTGCCTTTTCAACCTCCTCTAATCTAGGAACTTCGCTCATTTCTCGTTGTACTGGTTTCTGTGGAATTTCGTTGAAGATGTCATCCTTAATTTGTGATTCTCTGTCCTGAAACTGTTCCTTCCAACGAAAGTGGAAAATAAGAAGCTTTTGACAGAAGTAGATTGTAGCTTAGTTGTGAGTAGCAGAATTTTACAACGAAGGAATGCAAGTTTCCTGAAAAAAATTGATTTTCTCAAAAAATAAAAAACTTTTTTTAGGTTTTGCAATTAGCTTTTTCTTCTCTCAAAGAAAATGGATTTATTCTTTCTCGAGAAGCAATAGATTTAAATGCTGATTCCAATAATATTAAGGATAAGTATAAATATTGTTACAATTTTCACCAAAGAAGAAGAAAAACTTGTGTTCTTTAGAAAGCAGAGTGGTTTTATCGATTCTTCTTTGGTAAATACAAACTGTCTTTGAGCAGTCTTTTGCCATCTTTGGATCGTAGGGATTGAGTCCTTGAGTGGTTGGTCCGTATACCATCTTAGTAGCATGAAAGATGGCAATGGTGCTGTTGAATTCTTCGGTAATCGTATTATAAAGGATAAAAATCTTTTTGGTTTCCATAAATATCGATCAGTAAAGCAACAAGATTTCTTCTATTTTGTGCTAGCCTAGTTTTTTGAAACTATGTAAGAAGATAAATTATACCTACCACTTACCTAGTGATAATATCTTGCCAATAAAAAACTATTGACACATTTTAGCAATTAAGTTACAAGAAAATCTCATGGATATATTAAACAGACCCGAAATTCTAGAGGGACTAAATGATTCTTGTTTTAATACTAAAACTTTCCTTGAGAACTGTTTCGAAAACAATAGTACGAGAAATATATTGAAAAACGAGTGGGCATTTTTGGAAATTGGTGATGGAGAAGCTCTCCAAATCTTACAAAAGGGAACAAATGCCTTCAAAAGAAAAAATGTTATCCAATGCGATGGTGATTTTAATTCCATTTTGATTTCATTTGGAAGGTAATACCTATTATATACTATAGTATTGATATATTTATTTGTATTTTGTACATGTTTGTTACCTAAAATAATTATTAGACCTTGAAAAATAAATCACCTATATTTTTAGATTATATGAAATAGGATTTAATCCTCAAATCCAGAATTTATATCCAACCGTCGAGTTTCCTGTGAGTAGAGGGACTCCCATGTTAAGTCCAAAAATTAAGTGGAACCATGACAGAGAATGGTTTGTCGTTAAATATCAATCAAGTCAACATCTTCGGGAAGAAATTACAACCAAAATTATGATCAATGATTCAACTTATACCTATTTAACAGGACATGTTGTTAATGGTGCGTGTGTGCTTCTATAATGCAAGTAGTTCAACTATAAAATAAAACATGTCCTTTTTTTCCAGGAAGAAATCTGGTACCAGCTACAGGATATTTGTATTTTGTATGGAAAGCTCTCACTGATATGTCAGGATATATTGGCGAAGATTTGACAGTAGTCTTTGAAAATTGTAAATTTAGAAGGGCGACATCATTGCCGAAAGCCGAAACCATATTGGAACTTACAGTACAAATTCAAATAGTATCGGGAAATTTTGAAGTAATCGAGGGCAAGTAAACTTATTCTTTTTTCTTTAATCCGTATTTTGCTCCCGCAAAACATGAACTATTGATTTTGTGTTAGGCGGAGAAACTGTGGTTTCTGGAAAAATTTATCATTTACTTGATGGTAAACCTGTTTTGGAAGACCATCAGCAGCCATCCGTAAATACTGACGAAACTCCACACATGAATGGGAAAGATGTATACAAAGAACTGAGGTTAAGAGGATACAATTACAGGTAGGTATCTACCTCGAAATTTTATATCCATTCAATATTAGACATAAACGTTGTTTTATTGTTGGTATAGTGGAAAATTCCGTGCAATTCACTCTTGCGATGCAAGCGCTCAACTAGGTAGCATAAAATGGGAGGGTAACTGGATAACTTTCTTAGACAATATGCTGCAAATGAAGATTCTAGGAGAGGACACCAAACTACTATATGTCCCAATTTTTATTCAAAGGCTAGTGATTGATGCAAGTAGGCATAATTCGTATGTAAAGACTTTCAGTGAAGAAGTTCCAATCCTCCCTGTAACTATATCAAAAGAAACTGGCATTATTAGGTACGAGTATATTATAAAAAAATAAACCGAACATAATAAAATATTTTAGATCCGGATATGTAGAAATTAGAGGATTAGTTGCTAGTAGTATAGCTAAATCTAAATACAAAGGCACCCCAGTCATTGAAAAATATGTTTTTGTTCCTAATGTTAGCTCACTTTCTACAGAGGAAGCCATAAGAGCCAATATGCAAATTTTGTTGGAGAATTTATTTAGTTTTAAAGTTAAAGTGGTTGAATTAATTGATGAGGCTACTTTAAGCGGAAACGTATCTTTAGGTGAGTACCGGTAGGCAAATATTTCACGCAAATTCGAAAAATAATTTACCTTTCCTTGCAGCTGAAACTATCTCCAATGTTTTTGGTGATCAACCAGCAATCCAACCAGATATTACAGTTTTAACTGAAAGCGACTTACAGATACCAAATGTAAAAGTGGAAAATAAGAAGCTTTTGACAGAAGTAGATTGTAGCTTAGTTGTGGGTAGCAGAATTTTGCAACGAAGGAATGCAAGTTTCCTGAAAAAAATTGATTTTCTCAAAAAATAAAAAAACTTTTTTTAGGTTTTGCAATTAGCTTTTTCTTCTCTCAAAGAAAATGGATTTATTCTTTCTCGAGAAGCATTAGATTTTAATGCTGATTCCAATAATAATAAGGATATAAATATTATTACAATTTTCACCACAGAAGAAGAAAAACTTGTGCTCTTTAGAAAGCAGACTGATTTTATCGATTCTTCTCTGGTAAATAAAAAAATATATATATATCCGATTCTGATTTGTACTTATATATCATTATTATATTTCAGCTAAAAATTTCCTCCAAAGATACTGAGTTTAGTTGGGTCGCTAAACTACAAGATGAGATAGCACACAATAAAAATGTTGTGATTTATGCAGAAGAGGACCTAATAAATGGTGTATTGGGAATGGTTTTATGCTTACGACGAGAAACAGGTAAGATGATAAATAAAATAACGATTATCCAACTACAAAAGGTGTATGTCAAGATGGGATAGCATAAGGGCTTAGGAAACGGTAAGAGATTCGAGTGGTAACGGCAACGGCTAACGGAATCGGCAACGGCACGTCTGATACGGCCTTTAGTGGCGTTGTCAAATTTGAGATTCGTCAGTCATGAATAGTTTATTTGCTTTGTGTTAGCTTCCGATCCCCTCTAAAGCAATGACGTGTGAAAACCATTAAAGAATTATTCGTTCATTTATATATTTTGCTGTTGTGCGTTTCCCTTGTTCTGGTACCTTCTTTGATTCATCAGGTTTTTTGTTTCGGATACATATAATGTTCAGTTTAGGCCAGACAAGTCTGTTATCGCTAGGTGCCAGTTGAAAATTGATTTAGTGTGACTGCAACTGTTTAACCAACGAGGCTGAGGCGTTACACAGCATGTCCGAGTGGATTGGAGTCCTATTGGTTCATTGCCAAGACCATTTGATATCTTCTTCCTGTCCACCTTCAGTTAAGGACAATAATTCCATTGTAGTATCGTCAAAAAAAAGCAGATCTCTTTGCTAAATAATTTGCATCCAATTCCACGATGAAGGAAAATGGCAGAGCGCTACAGGTACTGCCACACATTGGTTCTCACATGGACAAGGTGGACAAGGTTGTATATAGACCTACAACTATTAGGAAAATTTTTCTGCGACTTGACACTGGGAAATCTTATGGTCCAGACGGCATTCCACCAATTGTCCTCGAAACTCGCTCACAAGAATTGGCTTCAGTTCCTCGCAAACTGTTTCCACTCTCTTCCAATCGAGACGCTTTCCCGTCTATCTGGAAATGTGCCAGTGTGCGGCCCATCCCGAAAAAGTGCAAAAACACTCTTCCTAGCAATTATCTTCCCATTATACTAACTTATATTCTTACTTTACCGAACGTAATGAAAATGCAGTCAACCTGAAACTTGTTTTAATACCTCGAAGACAATAAGCTCATCTCTGACGAACAGACGAACGAATTGTCAAAATAGCGATTCTATTTTCCGATTTATCAATGCCTATTACACGGTAAATCCGGAGCTGTCGTCGTATTCGATATCGAGACAATTCGACTCGACTCGTAAAATAGAATCCGGGGGCAGGTGTAGCACAAAGGTCTACCCAGCAAACTTCCATCGTATGGTCTTCCGAACAAGCCATTGGCTGGAGAGCTTCTTGGATTGGAAGGCAGGTCACTGCATGTTGTGGTCGATGGTGTGTCTTCTGATACACTGGCTATAAATGCCAGCGTTCCCCAAGGCTCAATTCTGTCTCCAACACTGTTTTATTAAATGATTTGTTAAGTGTGACAAGAAACCCCATGTACAGCTTTGCGGACGATAGTAGCTTCATGGCATTTTGACAAACCGCCTACTACCGCCACTTCCACGCATCTGGCCCGAAAACAAATTCACTCTATCAACAGCGATCTTGACACGATTACCAAGTGGAGCAGAGCCTTAACAACCTAGTCAAATTCAATGCTCGCAAGTATTCTGTAGTATAACATACCCGGGTTCGTTCAGTAAGATTGAACGGTGTGAATTTCAATTATCTTTTAAACAACAAATCTTCTGAAAGACGGAATGAAAAACAAATAGGACCTACGTTCTGGAAACTCACTCAATTTTACTTGCTGGACATGCGCCCGACATAGCAAATATTTGGGAAATTTGAGGGAGGTTGTGATATGTAAAAGAAACGAAATATTTGTGAAACGTCTTTATTACTAAAGTAAAACGTACCGTTCTCATCCTGGAACTAACGAGGGGAAAGAACACGGCAGAGAAATCCTCGATCCAACATTCCTCAAAAATCGAAACATACTGTGTCATTTTAACAATAATTTTGAGTCATCAATTCAATAATTTAAGTCAATAAAAGTTTAAATTAGGTACCGCCCCTGTTCTTGTGCTAAAATTTTAATTACACATACTACATTCATTCAACACTTCCTATAATCAATACTGAAGAGTTTTTGGTCAGTTAGCTGGTCTGCCGAAGGGTACTGAGGTCCCATACGGGATGCTACTCAGTTATAGTTGTTATTTTGAGCCAATATCTCTTTCCTTTGTTTGGTAGGATATTCGCTCATCAGGGTAGGAAAATGTTAGTAAATTCAACAAGGCCCTAATGCACGTTCTGAATACACAAAATCAAAATCTCAGCACAAAAAGACAGCACATAGTTTTTAAGGTTTTCATTTACTTTTTTTTATCTGTGTTGTTTATAGCATGAAACGATTTTTGTTAAATACATAAACAATGCACATGTTATAAAATAGCTATTTATACAATAAGTTACTAAAAGACATCGTTTCGTAACGTATTGTATACAAGATTTTTTCTACTGGCATTTTATAATAAAAAAACACTATTTTATTTCATGTGAATAAGTCGATTACACCCAAAATCTTTGTTACCTGCTTTTACTTGACACCTGACACTTTTCATGCGATTTTCTTTTCAAAATTCGACATCAATAATTAAAATCCTAGAAAGTAGGTAATAACTCAAAGTTCTGTTTTGAGTAACCCAAACGTTCAATTCAGTAATTCCATTTTCAATATTCATAATAAATACAAAACAAAATTCAAATATGTGTTTAGTGTGTTTTTTATTACTGAATAATGAATGACACTTTTAGGCACTAGTGCTTAAAAATTACTTTTACGCACTCATAAGTCACTTTTACGCATTCAAAAGTCACTTTTACGCACTGAGTGCTTAAAAGTAACTTTCACGCACTCAGTGCCTAAAAGAATGTCGTTTCAAAACTGAAATGACAATCGAAAAGTTGCTATTATGAAACGTCAGTAGAAAAAAATGTTATAAACAAACAAAAAACATAAAAATGAAAAAAATTATACTTGTGTACATAATTGAACTCTCAAAAACAAAATAACAATTATTCAACTATAGTCTGGCAAGTGGTAACTTGGTAGAGACCAAAGCGGGAAGAAAAGTAGGGCGTAGCCTAAAAATATTCAGTGACACCTCAACTGACACTGCCTGATGACAGCCATATATTTGGGTTCAGTGGCACTGAAAACACGAAGGAAATAAACCAATAAAATTATTAGAAAAAAATTCTCTAGTTTCGCCAATAACCACGCCACTGCGTGCTGTCGTTCAGACTCTAACCAATAGAATCATGCCTCTGAATAATCACGCCTCTCTACATCCATCATATCGCAATGTTGCCGGATTTTTTTATTTCAAAATACTACATATGCCCATATAGCAAAAAAATATGTCTCCAACTTGTTTGTTATTGTTTCCGTCAAGTTTGGCAAAGCAGCAAATTCTATCGCAGTTCGCCGTTTGGCTAGCCAGACAATAACCTGTGATCGCTCCTTAACACACACACACTAATAACAAATTGGATTGAACAATCAATTTAATGCAAAATAAAAATGAAAATTGAATAGGTAATGCATAATTACAGACACGCGTCGAAAGGACCAGCCCAGCTTCTTCTCTAGTCTCATTGCGTATTCCTTCTCTCCCCTTCGTACGCTTTTTCTGTGGAGCCTCTAGGTTCGTCCCCACTTGTCGGCGTATTACATGGTTGCAACATTTATTTTTATTCAGTAAACGTTTTTTCAAAAAGTTAAGATTCAAAGAAATAATATTTTAAATAGGTGGTTTTCCTCAATTCGTTGACTCTATTAGATGCAGTACAAAGAAGAGCAATAAAAATAATCGATAATCCAACTCTCAACACGAACATAGACGCAACGTGGACGTTGTCATTATTCTATCGTTATTACCTTGGGAGATGCTCTGAAAATCTGGCCTCATTTCACCTAGGAGAAGTTATTTAGGAACCACTAGACCCACTGAGCGGCATCCCATCCGACGAAATAAAAGAATGTTCATAATTGTGCTCGACTATGCTCAGTGGTTGTTTAGCTTGAGGTGGTCCTTGGTGTTGGTACAGTAAAGAGAGGGCGCCACTAGTTTTTATAAGATTATTTTGATTACCAAAGAATAGCCAAACTAGACACTATTCGAATAATTAGTTATTGTTTAAAAAGATAAATGCAAAAATCTGAAAAGGTAAAATAAATCCAATACCTATCTGACATTTAACCCATTCAATAAAAACACAAGTTTTGGAATTCTAAAAACAATAATTTATTAACCAAATGGCAAACTTGTTGTTCTTTAACAGTTTGTTGACCGGATGGCGAACTTGTTCATTAATGTTCTATATTCATTAACATTGAAAAAACTAAATTGTTTAAAGGTGATTATTTCATTCATTATAAAATAGACCAATCAGACAACGTCATTTTTTGAATAAATTTTGTTTAAATAAGTGATTATTTCACAAGACCTGTTTATCAGCGATTAATTATTTGTTTACCTTTTTTCACAGAATTTTGATAGAAATATTCTGACATTTTATAATAAAAAATAGAACTTTTTGTTTGTGGCTTCAATCCTAATAATTATTCAGGAAATAATCTAGCCGTATATCACTCGACCTAGAAATTTAAATGGATTAAACTATCCAAATATTTTTCGCACAACTTTGCTTTTTGGCAAATAGTTTCATGCACAATAACTTTTAAATAAAAGCCCTCGACCGCTTCGCGGTCTCGAGCTTTTATTAAGTTATTGTGCATTCAACTATTTTCCAAGCAAAATCATGCTCAAAATATGTTGCATAGTTTAATCGATTAAATTTGAAGGTCTTGTGATATAATATATGATTATTGTCTGTATCAGTTTTATAACAAATTATAAGCAGCTTACTGAAAGCAATACTTAATTTAAATAGGTATATAAAAAGATTGAAATTTAAAAACAATTAAATCGATACCTTCGATGAGAATTACCTAAGTATAATAAATGTTGAAGTAGAAACAAAATTAACCTTTAATTTTTGACTGAAAGTCAATCAAGTCAATAAAAAAACAAATCAATAAATGCAGAAAGGTAATAA